CTCTCTCTCTCTCTCTCTCTCTCTCTCTCTCTCTCTCTAAATCAGTGACAACCCGCAACCCATCAGAACTCTCACAAAATCAGTGGCAACACATCAGATCTGTATTTACATACCCAAAATATGTGCAGAAACACCAGGCAACCCATATAGCTCACATCAAAGGACATTCTGGTATATATTCACATATCAAAGAATCCATCTGCAAAGTTTTCTTCCCATGTCAGTCCCATATGCAAAAATTTTCCTTCCTCTCACTCGTTTGACTTTCTTACTCAATACTCACAGGATGCAAAGAACTCTTCTGCTCTATCCAGAAAGCTGCTTGGAAACCTACTATGCAGCATAAGAGAAGAGGAAACCTCTGATACAGGAAGACTACGCTTAGGGGGCCATTCTTCACAAACTTTCATACCCTTTGCATCTCTATGACTGGTGCAACTTTTCACCTTTCCATATTTGCCTGTCCGTCCTAAAACACTACTCTTACCCACCATCGCCCGTGAATTCATAGGATTATGTCGGCTTGATTTAACAGGAAGATCACTAGAAATTTTCTTGGGTTCTATAGCTGGAGCAATATTACTATTATCAACCAAAGGCTCATCAGTTGTTGCATTCTCTAAAGAAGATAAATAACTTTTACAAGATTTGAGCAAGGAAAGCAACATATCTGTACTGAGTTCCAGTTGTATCAAACCCCTGTTTTGCTCACAACCATAGCAAGCAGCCACTAGTGTGCCACCCAATATGGGAATCAGGCCGGGGTCACTGAAGAACACGAATGGCAGATCACACACCTAGGTTCCCACCATTAAAAATTGTCAGAATTTATTCATTTACTACATGGAGAGCTTCTTTAACCTACTTGACATTTTTGGACACTTGACACCCTTTCCTCTTGGTGCAAAACATTTTTGCTGTGCAGTACATCATTTGACAGTGATAGATTGGAAGCTGGTGAAGGTCAAGAGGTCCTGGTATTTGAAAACTATCAGGAAATCTACTATTACCCAGATAAGACATCTAATGCTTCCAATAATATCCATTCCACCACTGACAAATGCCATAAAGTGCCCCCTTATCAGACATTTCATACGTTACGTAGAAAGGGCATCAAGCATCCAACCTTGGAGTAGGCTAATGAAGTTCACATGCAGTCACATACATGTTTATTAATTGGTTGAGAAATATCTTGAAAGCAAAGAAAACAAATAATTTATCTAACCTTGTGAAGGATAGTTGGTCTCTTGCCCCAGCGGAGAACTGCTTGATTGCCAGGGTGAAATATCGCAAAGTAACCCAAGAGTGACAAGGTTTGAAGAAGAAGCAAACCAACCTAAGATATGTCAATTGCCCATGGTGAAAATTTTCAACCATAATGCATGCACCCCACATGTGCACGTACACACACGCACACACATAAAGACAAGTTCTATAGTCACAAATATCTGCTTTTTTTTTCAAGAATCTTTCAACTTTCGCAATTCTTTATGAGAACATTATCATGATATTTTCAAAATCACAGGAGGTTTATCTGAAGAGAACTTATACTATGCTCCCTTAGGAGCATACTTTACATTTACTTCCTCGGCCAAAACACATGCTTGTGAGAACTTTTTTGATTTGAAATTCTGGGTATCCATCTAATTATAGCTAGATGATTATTTTCAAAGAAAAAATTTTGATTTTGAGATCTTCAACATCTAGATCATTAACCCCAAAATTTGATGGTTTTCAGTGCAATCTCGATGTCTTTTCCTTAGTATATAGATTTTATTATTATTATTATTATTATTATTATTATTGTCTTTGAGGTTGGTTGTCAGGTCCTAGAGATCCCATCTCCAAAATTTGGGATCTAAAAGATATCTCTAGTGTAAGTTTTGCCCAAGGGAATAGATGGATAGTATACTCCCGCAGGAGTAGGAAATCTTTTGGCTTATCTGAAACTTAGTTCCTTATAATAATTTGCCAAGATATTCTCCAAACATCTGAGATTTTCCCTTAAGATATGTAATTTTTTATTTTTTTGTTTATTTTTCAATCCTCATAATTCTCTTGCTATTTTGGCTTCTCTCAAAAAACCAAGAACAAAACTTGTCTCCATGCCCATGCAGCTATAACCATATATGAAAATTAATAGACATACATGCGTTCATATACCAATTTAAGTATATTCAAGCCAGATCATGGTTTCAAAACACGACCGAATCGATTCAGACTAGGCCTTGGCAGCCTGCTGAGGTGCATTTTTAGGACTATTGGGTTTGTTAAATAAAATTTAAAAAAAAAAAAAATGTTACTAAATCATTAACTAAATAATTAATGATATGTAAATATGTTTCTGTCTAATCATTTATATGCTCCAAATTTCCTTTTCTTTCCTTTATATGGATTTTTTTAAATTGTCTCTTCAATATAAAAATCAATTTTTAGTGATCCATATTCTGTATACTTTTTCCATCTCTCATAGACTTTTAATGATGTTTATAACTTCTTTGCTTTTTATTGAATTTTTATTATTTTTAACAATTTTTTGTATAATTTCTTGGTAATTTTTGAGCCATTTTGGGGTTGTGCAGGTCTCCAGTGAGTCAAATCAGACTTGTCCAAGTTATCAGCTCGGGCAGGGGCCGAGTCCTGAGCCGGAGCAGAGTTTTTTAACATTGAGCCAGACTAAACCAGTCACAGAGCACATAATGCATAACTTTTTCATACAGGCCACCATAAATAAAATTTCACAATTTCACTCCGTATAAACTTTCTGCTCTCCGACAGAAAAATCACAGAAACTCACCTCATCAGTGGATCCTTTCCACTTGCTTGCACAGTGAGAAAGAAGGAAACTCATCAGGTGGAAGAACTCCATCTGCAAATCTGGCCGAGCCTGTAACCAATAAAAACATGATAACAAACAAGTTAGCGAGAAGCCATAAGAGTAGTTACATTAAATATCATTTGCCCAAATATCAAATTTAGGAAGACTATCAAACACTCCAGCTACACATAAAATTATTAGAAAATCAAAGCTTACAAGCATCTTCTGCAGAAGAGGCAAATCCAAGAGAGCCAAGTTATTCAACACCCTCAATACCCCAATTGCTGTCTCTTCAAAATTCAATGGAAGGGTGTATGCTGCCTGGAAATCAAGTGCTAGTTAAATTCTATGTTAATTGTGATCAGGCCTTCTCATAAAAAAATTGCAACAGAATACAGCATTGACTAATAATCATGATACACAAAGCTGGAGAAAACCAATAAAGAAAATTTAAATGAAATGAAATCTGTACTGCATTAGCCTTAGTCACGGTACCACATGAAAATCAAATTGAAGAAAGGAATATTAATTAAATCAGGTAAATGAGGTGTTTGCTCAATCACAAACCAAACTAGTTTAGAAGGTCTATCTCAGAATGGGACTGGTATACAAGATTTTATTTTATTTTTTGAAGCTGTTATCTGTACTATATTAAATAAGAGAAGTTTACATAAAAAAGGGGGAGGGTAGAGACCACCCACTAGACAGGGGTTCTAGTCCAAAAACAGAGTGGTGGTCCTATACAAAAAATGGGGATAACCTGGTACATATGCACATGACAATACAAAAAGGATCGGTTTCTATGAGGCCAAGCCCGCATATGTAGAAATGCGAGCCCATTAATAAATATATTTTTGAGATGGATTTTGGGACTTAATTTTTAAGGATATCTAATCTCTAACAAGGAGATCATGAATATGAAAAAATATGTAAATTTTAAAAACTAGAAATAATAATTCTAGTAAGAAAACATTTGGAACGTTAGTTTCCATTGTGTTTGGATGCATTACATTTTTTGGACCGCATATGTAGTCATGCAGTCCAGCCTGCATGAAACAATTTTCCATACAAAAATACATTGATCCACTTAAAGAATAAATAGAATTTTCATTCTTTGTAGAGAGCATTTCATTTTTTGTTAACGTATAGTTTAAATAATAACTCATCAAAAGCATAACATGGTCGAACATGCTCTCATTCCTTGTGACAGCCATGTAATAATTAAAGAAGTAGTAAGATGAATGCTTTCTCCGAAAGGTGGTAAGATGTATAATCATTAAGAAGAAAAACGGTATGCAGAATGTATCATCATGTGTACTGTAAGAGACTCATATTTACCTGTTCAGATGATTGCTTATTGTTAGCCTGCAATAGAACACCAGTTAACAGTGAAAGAAGGCTGACAAGGCCTGTTTCAGCGAACACAGAGACAAGATATTCAGTTGGCTGCTTCAAGCTTGCTTCTTGTCCATTATTGTTAGTTTGTTGAGAATGGTCATCAGGCTCTCCAGCAAAACATACAGTATTCTTCTCATTCTTCTGAGGAATGTTGGGCCCTGAATATTCTTCCTTTACTAAATTATGGGTCGTATCCCCGACGTCTGCAACCGTTGAAGCCATAGGCAACACTTCCACATCAGCTTGCAAGTTACTCTGAATATCAGTTGGAATTTCCCCAAATCTATCTTCTTTAACGGCGGGCTCAACAAGTGAAGTGACATTTTTGGGTGACAAATTTTCACATTCATTTGGCTGTTCTTTTACAATTGTGGGAGGCAAATAGCCTGGTAAGTCTTCAACATAACTTTTCATTTCAGAGGAGGAAGACCCCGAATTTGGCTCTGAGCTTTGTGCAACATTAGTTTCATGTACCTGATCTGCTGTTATTATTTTCAACGAATAAGCTTCCCAATTGATAGAAGAAATGGTTCTTGACCTGGTTGTCAAAATTGCCAACAAGTTCAAGCTCGAAAGTATGGGATAAGGAAATGGGGATCCTTCAACTTGGGGCCTATCAAAAAGGGAGAACAGATCACGGAGACGATGAACGACTTGGTAGGAAATTATCAGTTCCATCAAACCATCCCGCATCTGAAGATGGTTTTCATCAGAAAATGCATGCTCCATAATGATTGTAACCGACCATAAGAACCCATCCAATACAACAGCAACAGAATCCAAATTCTCAGCTGAAGTTTTGCTTCCAAGTGAGTTTGCCATGCTCCCATTAGAATTAGAAGATGCTGTGATCTTGATGTAGTTTTCAAGAGCGGTAGAAAGCATAGGAATAATTGGGGGCAAAAGATTTTGAGAGAGAAAATAACCTCGATTTGCTGACAAAGATAAAACCACTTTTAGAAGTTGCAAAAGATATAAAGTCACCTGGCCTGCTTCAGGCTTTGAAGTGTGCGAAGCAGGCAACGCAGCAGCTATAAAATCCAGCAATCCAGATTGGCGACACGCATGAAGCTCCGGTTCTTTGTTCTCCAAGAACTGTTCCACAGTAAAAAGGATCAAATCTGAATTTAATATGAAGTTATGACAAGTAAAAATTATTACAATTCAAACGACCATATTAAACCAAGGTCGTCATCATTGTCTGATAAAATGATGGGTAGTAACGGAGAGATTGGGACCTAGCAATGGGGTCATGTCCCCTTATGGGGGTTGGTCCACTCTCTTTCCATCACCATGCATCATTCATTGCAAGGTCATGACTCCAATGTGCTGTTCCTTAGGCTTCAACGTAGTAGAAAAGATATTGATTTGGATGAGGGAGGTCAAGGGTTAGAACCCTTGAACTTTGTCGCAAAAAGCTCAAACAAGCTAACCTAGCCTTTTTTTTACGCGATGACTCAAATGGGCTGAGTACATCATAGTCCATTTATTCAATGAAAATGAAGCCTCAGATTACAGTTCATCAGCACTAAGGCTATCAGGTTATTATATCTGTGGAAATAACATGTCAATACCTTAATCATATCTCCCACAATCAATCCGATGCTTGCTGTCCCTTCTTTTCTTGCTTGTCGAAGCCTTTGAAGGTCCTGAAGCCATCTCCCAATCTTTGCTCTTGCAGATCCTGCTTGAGCTCTAGAGCCAATTCCTCCACTCTCAACACCTACTGGGGGTTCAACAAATTCAGACTTCAGAGCCATAAGCCTTTGCCTAATCTTTTTAATCCTTCTCCTCAAAGGCTGCTGCTGTGATGCATTACCAAACCCAAGTGTAGAACCAACACAGTTCACTGGATAATCTTCCCCAGCTCCATTCGATCTGCTTTGTCCCTCCTTAATGGAAGAACGCCTAAGTGAAGGAGATTGGTCTCTATAATCCATAGAGGCTCTCTCTCTAATCTGCTCGAAGTAAAATTTTCGACGCAGCTCACTCTCTCTAAGTCTTTCCTCCAATTTTTGAGCTAAAAGTTCCGCTTCCTCTTGTTGGGCTTTTGCCCTAACTTCCTTCCTCCTAAGTTGCTCCACTGTCCTTGCTTCACGAGCCGCACTTGTGGCCCTTCGTTCCTCCTCCCTCCTCACTTGCGCCTCCTCTTTTTTACGTTGGGTTTCGGCAATACGCTGCAGCTTCTCAGCCTCAAGAAGTTTTCTCCTTTCCAACACAGCCTCCTCTCTTGCCATGTCTTCTTTTTGCTTGGTCTTAATAATCTGAAGCTTCTCGGCTCTCCTCATTTCCGAGTCTTGAAGCTTTTGGCGAAGCATAAGTTTTTTGTTCTCCTCATTAAGTGAAGTAATGAATCGAACCTCATTAACCTTACTGCTTTCATCGCCGGCTCTTCTCACAACTTGGGCGAGATAGGCTTCATGTCGAGATTCGCTACGTTGATGTCTAGCATGCATTCCTTCTCTTAGTTTGGTGCTTCGCACCGCCTGCCACTCATTGACTCGATTCAATTTCTCAGACGTTCGTTGAAGTCTTTGGACTCTCTCATTCTCTAACTCTGCTCTAATTCTCATTGCACGGGTATGCTTTTCCTCTGCTTCTCTCTTCATGTCCAAAGCACTCCTCTTCTTCCTCTCGGGAGACATCAATTTATTGTGCAAAACCTTAGCACGAGCATCAGCACTTCTTCTTCCGAGGCCAGGGGAATATGAAACCCTAGCAGTGCTACTCATAGGAGAAGACAAAATATCTTGCCAGTTCCTTTGTTCCTTCCATGCATCCATTGATTTCCATGGTGTTGGGGACTTCTTTTCCTTCTCCTTTTCTTTGTCAGTTACCTGCCTCTTCAGTGAATCAACAGGTTTGGAGCCTTTGTCAACTCGATTGTCAATCGATGCTTTATCCCTCTTAGGAACCAACTTCTCCATTTCAGGAACCGACCCAGTAGATTCCTGCTTGCTTTTGCTAGCATCAAGAGCTAAGGGGCCATCCTTCACAGGTAACAGCGAAATTTCAGAATAAGAGGAGGACGCGTTTGGGGGTGGCAATCCAGCATTTCGAATATGGGATGATTTAGAGAGCCGTTTCTCTCCCACTGAACTTCCTTGCACATAATCTGAAGGAACAGAGGACTGTTTTCTCAACCTTACTTCTCTCGCACTTGGCATTGTGTCGCTTTTTTCAGGATAATTCCTCTGAGGATCCTTATTGACTTGCAAAAGGTTTGGATCCTTAGACTGAATCCCTTTTCCATCATGTGTTGGTGGCCTTCTGGCTCTTTCCTCTTGAATCTTTTTGAAGGCCTCAAGAGATGAAGACAGTATTTCTGCCCTTTGAGGTGAGTTAGACATTCTGCGCACCTGTACTTCATGACAGTTAATATAAAATCATATGGGAACAATATTAATATAGAAACCAAAACACAAGACAAGCATCAAAGGCACTTGGTGTTCTCATAGATTCCATCACTTTCTTGTCTACCAAGTGTCTTAAGTACCAAAATTATTCCAACATTTGCCATGTATCACAATTTCATATTTAAGCAGCATAAGAGTTTGAGAAATATGATGGACAATAGAGAGGTTTGTGTGTGCGCATGCAACTCTCTCTCTCTCTCTCTCACACACACACACACACACACACACCCCACCCCCCCGCCGCTTCAGTACGTCTCCGCACTTCAGTCTGTGTGTTGTGCACATGCATTTATGACTAAAGATGCTAACCTCCCAAGAAAGGGCATGAGGTCTTCGGTGATCAGCCTTCACATTTGCAGGAGGCCCGCGAGATGAAGACTGAGAAGGGATCTTCTTTGAGCTCTCAAACACTTCCACCCGAGACTTCAATTCTCTAAAATCAGATGAAGCTTCTTCTAGAACAAGTATAGCCTCTGCCATTTGCTCCTTATCACATTCTAGCTCACATAAAAGATAAAGTTCATCAACCGCTCTGTTCAGATTCTCGAAGAGAAAGCACCAAAGCCGTTGCCTAAACCTTTCTTTGCTTTCACCAGCTTCACCATCACCAAGACCATCCATCATTTGTGTGTCCAACAATTCCTTAGGTCTTTGATTTTCAACACAAACTGAAGCATCTTCTACTTCATTGACATCACTAGCAAGTTGTTTGGAGTCCTTACTCACTTCTACATCAGGAATTTCCATGGAAGCATCTTCTCGAATGCTACAATTATTATCCTTTTGGGTAAGCTTAAAAACATTACTAACAGATTCGGGATTCATCGTTTCTAATTTCTTGACATCTACAACACCATCCTCAGAAACTTCTAATTTCTCAGTAACATCCACAGCAATATCCTCATGAATATTATTATTTTCTTCTTTATGGGTCCTTGCAGAAATGCTAGTAAGAGCTTCCTCTTTAGGTTTTTCTTCTTGGCTCTTTCCAGATATACTACTAATAGATGCTTTGGGTTTTTCTTTTTGGGTTTCTCCATAAATGCTAGTCGAGGCTTCTTCTTTCGGTTTTTTGTCTTGGGTCTCGCCGAACCTACAAGTAATAGCTTCTTCTTTGAGTTTTTCTTCTTGGGTCTCTCCAAATGTAGTAGTAATGGCTTTTTCTTTATGTTTTCCTCCTTGGGTCTCTTCAGAAATAACAATAATGGCTTCTTTGGGTGTTTCTTCTTGAATCTCTCCAGAAATACTAATAATAGCTTCTTCTTTGGGTCTTGCTTCTTGGGTCTTTCCAGCAATACAAGTAATAGCTTCAGACATGACTACCGATTTACCAATGGCAAATGAATAAGAACTTTCAACTGGTAGAATGTCAAAACCATCTGGAACTTTGCTACTGATGGATTCAACATGCTCAAAATCAGAAATGCAACACTTCCTAGAAGCACTTAAAGGAGCAGCATCATCAATCTTCTTTGGGCCATTTGCATTGGTTATGATCATCTTTTCAGAAGAATTTTCAATGGAATGTGAGGTATTACCCTCCAAAGAAGAATTTGAAACATTAAAACACCTTATGGAATCCCCAGATACATCAATAGTCTTTGCAACTGTTTCAATGGAATTCCCCAGATTCTTACATGGAGGAATAACATCACTATCGAGATTCCCCCACTTAATTCTATAAACATCATTAACCTTAGATTCCAAAGTGTTTAAGTTATCCTTATGAGGAGCTTCTTCCACTGTCTTAATTTGATCCCGATTAACTGCGACTATTGAAGTGCTAGATAGTTTGCTACATGAGCCAATACCGGGTTCAGGCCCAAATTGCTCATTATTGTGGTTCACCACTGTCTTTTCAACACAAGCCAAATCCTTCTTTCCTGGTTCTTTACAGAATGCACTTGCCGTGTCAGGCTGGCCGTTAAGGACCTCAGTTTGGCCAGAAACAGGCCCAAATTGCTCATTTTTGTGATTCAACACTGCCTTTTCAAGGCAAGCCAAGTCTTTTCCTGATTCTTTACGGGATATATTTGGGTTTGCCATGCGCCGGTGGTCTTTTGAGGGTTGTTGCCGATGCATATTGCGTGCATTTGCATTCTGATTGCGGGTTTTCTCTGTAGGTGCTCC